TTTATGACCTAGACAAGTGAGGAAAGGTAACTAAGCAATAGACATTTCTCGGGTTCTCAGATTTATTTTTTCACAAAAAGTAACCCCACCCTTTTTCAGTGCAGAACAGTGTTTTAGCCTTGCTTAACGGGTGGCTGAATGACCACTCTAAAGAACAAAATCCAAACTAGCTAAAATACCGTAAGCCATCTGATACCACTTATCAAATACACTATTTTTTTAATTACGGCAAGTAGTAGAGTGAGGTAAGATAACATGTTCTTCTTTGATAGCACTGCTAACTATACAAGCTGCAACTTGATAAAAACAAGTCTTAGTTACACTATTTCCTTGATATTATGCTACAAGATGCCCCAGAATGAATCATAGTAGAGACTGCCACATGCTTTCTTAAAAACCTGTGATGAAGAAAGAGTTCTTGCTACTGAACTTACCAAAACATTCTTCTCTATTTTGATGTTCCCAGAGTGAAAAAAAAAATAATCTGACTAATGTCTTCTTGCAAGCTGAAAGCCAGATTACTTTTTCCTTCATTTTACCACAGTCATTTCCTTTACTTTCCTTAAAATTATAGTGCAGAAGTCTTTGCCCATAAATGAAAGGAGCACTGTACCTTGCCACTTACTTCAACCATGCTTACTTTAGTATTTTGAGTATAAAGGCATTTTCTCTTGTGCTACAGACTTTCTAAAAGTTCAGTAATTTTATTAACATTTCCATGATCACAAATGTTTTACATTTTCAGTTACCTGGTTTCACCTGAAGCTTGTTCAAGTTACTTCTATTTGCATGTTTTATTTCTTTGCTAGAGTATGAGGATCTGATGAACACATGGAAACAGATTCTGCTTTTAAATTATGGTGCTGGAAATGCAGACCAACTTCCACAGGCTACAATGAATTTAGTACAGATTTGTACTGTGGTAACAGAATAGGGGGTGACCTCTAGCTCCTACAACATAATTTTCACAATTTGTATTCTTCTGCTAAGTTAGTTGCTTGTAACTATGGTAGCAGATTATATCGGAAACTTTATTAACAAGCAGGGCTTAGATTATAAACATTCACAGTTCAGGAAACTAAATATTATTCCCCATGAAACCCTAACATGGGCTTTTTACTACCCTTTTAACATACAGAAAGCAAAAGCTATTTCTGTTTGTCAGCAACAGTATTTTCCTGACTCCTGTACCTCCTTAAAATGTGATGTTATATACGTGATGAACAACTACTTGTTCTGCAACCAAATAAATGAAAAGCAGAATCTTTAATTAAAATGAAGGGACAAATTAAATAAAAGGGAAAATGTCACTGAAAAACTGCCTCTGAAATAATATGCTTATATATTGTTTTGTGTAATACATGGTTCTTTCTAAACAGGCTGTATTTAGTCCAATTTTTCCCCAAAGTTAAACTCACAAAAGTAACTAAGATCAGGTCCAGAAAACAAAAGATAAAAATCCTCAATGAGACAAAAGTCAAATTCTAATTTCATTCTTTGATCACGTATGAGAATTATTTACATGCAAGCAAGCACACCTATAGGCTTTATTACAAGAATAAAAGCAAACTGGATACTATAGTAGACAGTGTCCAGGATATTATGAATACACTGCTAATAATTAAAATTATATGTGAAGCTAAGATAAGGAAGAGAGTATTAGATACAGAATACAGAAAACATATTTAAAATAAAATAAAATCAAGACTAAGCCAGTAAAAACATACACAAACATCTGAATTATGTAGCAACCGTTGGACAATGTTCAGCGTGTTGCAGTAGAGAACTGATGACAATGCATTCCCAGTAAATTCAAACAAAAATATTTCTCACAATGACAAAATTGGCAGAGAATAGACTAAAACTGGCATGACATTGCTTTTAACCTGATTTTATTGATATTTACTAATTATACAAAATTACATATTACATATAAGGCATAAGAAAATAGCTATGGAAAATAAGCACCTATACCAAATAACCTGTCATTTCCTTTTTCCTAAATTGCTATATCTAATCACCTTTCTTCTAAATTATTATTTCCAACTGAAAAGCAGTTAAATGAGAATCTTATGTAATTTATGAGTTATTACTAAAAGCGATATCTTAGGGCTCCTCAGAATTATGTAACATTAGGAGATGTTAAAATTCTATTTCTTGCACACGTATTGAAGAGAGAGCTTTAAGAGTTGTGTCCTTTGCCAAAACCACTAGCATTCAAGTTAAACTCTCACCAGCGTGCTTAGCTCGTTAACATTGCCTTTTCTCAAGTGCAAATAACATTAGGAGTAAAACACAAGTCTGGACTCATAACCTGCACGAACACCACTGCAGTCATTTGGTTACCCACTTCTTCCCTTTACCTTAAAGCTGCACATAGATCACCTCCACGTACCTTCCTTCTTTTCTCTTCAGTCACATCCTCCTCTAATCCTTCAGTCAGCCTACAAATCCCACCTTGCAACTTCCCTTCTTTTCATTTCTGTATCTTTTACTTTGCTGCCCCAACCATTCTGAGTGCGCCCAGCACTCAGGCTGCAGCCAGGCACTACAGGACCCCTTCACACCCCTCCTGGGCATTCAATGGTGTGGGTCTGATACAAGAAATAAAAGCCTCAGAAATAATAAACTGCTAGCAGAACCAGATCTCTCCAAAGTAGCATCATCCTCTAAAGTTTCATAGGGACTCCTTGTCTGTGTTTCAGTATACACTACAGATCCCTCAGGGCAAGAACCAAGTAATTTATGATATAATTAAAAAAACCAACACCACTATACTAATTCATTCTTCAAAGAGATATCCTGAGATAATGGTACATATCACTCACCTAAATCTGCAAACAATAGGGTGTGGAATCCTTGTTCTTAGAAGTTTTCAAGACCTGGCTGGACAAATCCCTCAGCAGCCCGGTCTGAATTCAGAGTGGACCCTGCTTTGAACAGGAGGATGGACGAGACACCTCCTAAGGTCCCTTTCAACCTGATTGAACCTATCTGCAATTCCTGTTTTACTTTGGGCCAGGAGTTTGCTTTTGAAATGGATCAGATTGTCCATACCTATGACACTTTAGCTTGCACTGCAGAGCTCTCTCAGAGTACACAAAATAAATTTCTTTGGGATTAAATTAAACCAAAAGCCACTAATGAGCAGTAGTCCACTGGATCAGGCCAGAGAAAGCCCAAAGTATTCCTCCTTTCTCCAAAACACGTATAATGTTGATGCTAGGTACTCAGTACCATTTTGCTTTACAGATGCACTTCTAATGTGTCACACTACTTGCTAATGTAGACATTGCCATCTGAAGAGTTATGTTTTTCCACTTCAGCTGATGAGAAGGAATGCTAGCATATAAGTCCCAACTTTTTGGCTTTTTGATGCTGACAAACTTTGTCAAAGGATAGAAACGCATGTTACCTTCTGCAAGACTATGCAGAAGTCTTTTTTCCCTTCTTAACAGTTCCTGTACATTCAATGCAAGATCAACAAAGCAAGCAGCATTTTGCCCAACACAGATCCTCCTGCACTGGAAGATTCCAAATGGGAGAGGAGAGATATAAAGAAATATGAAGTGCAAGTCTGCATCGAAGCACTCAGGTGGCAGTTCATTCATTTTTCAAACTTTTTGCTGTATATGATAGTTTGATAAACAGGAGCTATTTGAAAAAGCCAGACTGTGAGACTTCATTGAAAGTGTTGGTCCACCCAACAGAACATTCAGTCGAGATGCTAGTATAACACGGTGTTTTGTAACTCTGTGAACAAAGGCCCACACAGAACCTCTATACACAACTTCTACCACAGGAAAATGCCTGCAACTGCCAAGAAAGCCACTTCTGTACACTTAGCAATGACTCACCCCCGTTAACAGAGGGACACCATTTCTTTTGCAGTTCTCTTCAATATATAACCTACTCATGCAGACAGGATACCTCCTGTGCATCTCAGGGTTTTTATTCTCTGAGCAGCTAGGCACCAAGGCTGACTGTGCTTACGGAACTTACTAAGGGGAAAGGAAGACAAGAGCCTGGCCACGAGCATTTCCTGAACATGGAGCTTCGTAAGTTGTCAGGAGTGAATGATCTGCAGACTGCGCACAGCGCAGGAGACCGCCCTGCTCCTTATCAAGGCACACGCTTCACAGAAGCATCTGGACATGAAGCACCCTAGAAGAATGCCACTTTAACAGCCATAGCTCTTTTCCTTTTGAAGGTTTACCAGATTACAAGATTTCTGAGCCTCTATCAGAAAACCATATAAAACAAAGCAAGGAATATTTTTGTTTTAAAAACAAAACAAACACCACATTTAAAATGGCTGACATTAACTTCAACTCATCTTGAAAAATAAAACCACAGTCCTCAGAAAGTTTTGATCTGGATTAATCTTTTATGGATTGGATCATATTCCATCTGCTGCTACCTCAGGAAAAAAACTAGCTGGTCAGTTGATCATCGTATCTACTGTAAGGCTACCCTCCTTCACAAAACTTAAAGGCAAACCTCTTTCTTACACAGGAACTTACCAATGGCCTTGGTGTAATGTCTGGCTCCGAGTAACAGCTCTGGAGCTCTGTACCAGAATGTCACCACAACTGGATCCAAGTCTGCCAATGGCTTCAAAGGTGAGTTGAACAACCTTGCAAAACCCATATCAGCTGGGGGAGGGGAGGAAAGAAAAAGGAAAAAAAAAAAAGAGAAAAGAACATTTAAAATTTTTATACAAATAAATCAGAATTTAACAGTATTGCCAAAAAGCAATTATAACAAAAGCTCAAAACCATTAAAACTCACAAATCAAAGCTTCTAAGAAAGTAACAAGTTACTCATAACAATACTGGGCCAAATTTATCTAAGGCTAAATTCCATTTACTTCATTTATAAGACTATGAAGGATGACGTTTGACTTTTAAGCGCTTTCATCATGGCACTGTAAAACTTTACATAACACAGATGCCCGTTTATTTAAATGGAACTGTAAGAGAAACCTGGTGAACTAAAGTCAATAGTAGTAGCTCTCTGATGTACATTTTCTCTTTTATTTTTATATATGTTTACAAAACTGTGAGCCCTTGTGACTGCTATGTATTTACCCAAAGTGCAAAACCAAAACGACTGCAGCGTAGATTGCTTTGCACTGTTTTTCCAGGTATGCCTCCTATTTGATTTGGAGGAACAAACCCCACAATCAGGAAAAAGTTTTTAACTGGAAATTAATGAAATCAGTGAGTGTACACTGTTACAGAGGTATATTTTAAATGCAAGCATTCATTTTACATAACTCAAAAATTCCCTCTAGAAACAACCTTGTAAGTAACATGAAGAAATGCTAGACAGGAAAGTACAAAATTTGGATGTATATCCAAAACCACGCATTTTAATCCAAGTCTGCAACTTAACTTTTACACAACTTCACCTAAATCTTTCTGCTTCCAAAGTTATGAAATGCCAAGTATAATTTTCTTGCAGTTACCCATACTAATATAAGCATATGAATCAAAAATGATTAGCTGAACATTTTCAAATACAACAAAAGTCGATGAATAGAAAAGAGGTTCCAGTGTATTACTTCTTTCTTGATGATTGCCACATGCTTTCCTAAAAAAAAGTTTATATCCACATGACTAAGGCTTAGGATATGCACAGGTAATTAGATTTTGGATAAAGACAACCACACTCACATGTGTTTCACAGCTTGGCACCAAATAGCCTTTGCATAGCAAACCTCTGGACCTCTACAAACATGTGCATTGATGTTATTTACATAAAAATAATTAAGAACAAATACAATTTGTAAGTAACAATGTTATACTAACTAATCATAGTAGAAATCAAAAGAACTCTGGCCATAGCCATTGTTCTATGTGCTTATTACTTTCTTGTTTCTTACAGATGCTTTTATCTCACCAAATATCCTTGGCAAGCTTTATAAATGTCTAATAATACATCTGGAATCTCTTAAGCTTGTAAACTCAATGAAAGACATTTAAAATTGAACTAGATGTGCATACTTACACTCAAAGAATAATGAAGATTTGTTTCTATCTTACACTGAAGATGCCATTTTTAAAGTAATTCCTTAGCTATGCAATGAAATTTTCTCAAAATATTTACCTATTTTGACTCTTCCTCTTTCAGGACCTTCACCCATTACCAGAATGTTTGCTGGTTTCTGCAAAACAAAAAGTAGACTATTTAGTTGACCAGCCTTCGATGATTATCTTCAATAATAATAAAAATATGTATATTTATTTTATAATGAAAATATTTCCATAAATACCCTTAGAAGTCTAAAATTACCATACCTTTATGTTTCGCTGACATTTAGTTTTTATCCCTAGTTACCAATTTCACCATTAGAAAAACAGTAAAGTACGTTGACATTTCACAGTAAGAAATGCAATCTTTAATTAAATCTGCATTTCTATTTTTACCAGAATGATCACATTCACTGGTGAGATTTTCTTCTACAGGAAAATTTTATGCCAGGTTAACACTTATGCTACACATCAATAATCTGGCAAGAACTACTTTTGCTAGTATAACTTGTTGAAAATGATGTCAAATCTTGGTATGCAAATGTATAGATGACTGTTGCTTTTGTTATCATCATATATAACTAGATTTTTAGAGCTGTGCTTGTTTCTAGTGTACGAATGATTAAAATCACATTGGCAAAGGCTTTTTTTTTCCACAAATTAAGTTGATTTCATGTTATGTGAATTCACTTAAAACAGGAGTATACACAGACAGCTCCATCCACAAGCTTTTGACAGTGTAGACAACAGCTTTACAAGTAAAACAAAAACTTTATAGACATTTTATGCAATCTGCAGTTGTTTGCAACCAGCTGCTTGTGAGCACCATATAAAATCTGCACATGACATCACAGCAATTGTTCTGCAATTAAGATCTGGGTTGCCTCAGACATCAATAGTCATTCCCGGGAAGCTTTTCCCCTATTGTGTTAACAGCTGTAAAAAAGTAAACAAGATTGCAAACATTAAGTGATTTGAATGAAGAGATGCATAACAAAGTTTCAAAGCAGAATTTTTGGAAGGTTCATCTGAACATTAATTATAAAATCCCTAATGCCTGAACAGGTTTGCTCAAGCAGGATTTGTTCAAGAATCTGAACGAGATGACCAGAAAGCCAACATCAGAATCTTGCTTAATTTCTCAGTTCCTAACACTTGCCATTCTTTACCTGAAATGAGACACTCAAACTAGGGTTACTAATTTGGCTCAAAATTGCAAATCCTTAGCTGTTTTGAAAAAGCAAACCAACCAACCAAAAAAGGCACTAGCGCACCCATTCTTTCTCCCCCTCCGCGCCCCCCGAAGCTGGTCTCCCTTGCCATCTCACCCCCCAGTGCTAGACATTGCTTCTTCCCTGGCCTTCAGATGCCATTGCCTCTTTTACTCCTCCTTTTTTTAATCTCGGGATAATTCTCAACACCATTGCTGACTTCTCATTCCCCAACGTTTTTCTGGAACCCTTCAAGATGGAATATGTGCTCCCTTCTTGCAGAACACAATAGCTATTTTAATTGATCTTGAGTAAACACTCACCAGCAAATTGAGGAAAGATAAAAATTATGCTTGCTCTTAGCTAATATTTAATGATAATGAAATCAACACTTCAAGGCAACTGGTCAAACTCTGGTTTTACATTCATGTATTATCCTGAATTGAATATTCTGGAGAACAGAATAATCCCATTCTGCATATTCAGCAACCAGGCAGCAAGGGAAGCATGCAAGTTCACACTACATTTTATCTCTGTTAGAAATCACATAGCTAAAATTGTCCCAACCAAGACAGCAAAATTCCAGTTTCCTTGTCGGAATTCTTCCCTAAACTCCTGCCTAGCAACCTTGATGTAGAGTCGAGCATGAATCAAACACACTTCAATAGACCTTTACATTCAGGATTGGATTTTAGGCACTATAAAATGCATTTATTTGTCAAGTGAACAGAGCTGATAAGAATGCAGTTGCTACAGTGATTTCTAGGTGAGTTTTTTTCTACAGAAGAATCATGTTCTAAGAAATAGACTGCATAACACCAGGAGATGTACTAAGATAAAATTTAAAATCTAAGTAGATACAACAGGATGCTTGAAACATCTCTTAAGAGTCATATTTTATCTGTAAAAACACAAGATTCTACAACCAGCAATTTCTTCGTAGAAAAAAAGCACAATTTTATCTGCTGACATAAACCACAATATTCACAGCATAGTTCAGGTCGGAAAGGACCTCTGGAGACCACCAAGTCCAAGCCCGCGGCGCAAAGCAGGGTCAACGACAGCAGGCTGCTCAGGCCTGAGTCCAGCTGGGTTTTAAACACCTCCCCGGATGGAGACTCCCCAGCCACTCTGTGAAACCTCTTCCAGTGTTTGATCACCCCCACCACAAAAAAAGGTTTCTTCATGCATTCAATTTATGCCTCTTGTCCTGTCACTAGATAGCACTGAGAAGAGTCTGGCTCAGTTTTCTTTACTCCTGCTTGCCAGGTATGTACAGAGATCAGTAAGATCCCCCCCGAGCCCTCTCCTCTTGAGGCTGAACAGTCCAGTCCCAGCTCCTCAGACTCAGAAAGACACCCCGAACCCCTAAGAAATTTTGTGGCCCTATACACACAGGGGATACACTAGGTTAGAATCCAGGGAAGCAAGGGACTTGTCCACTTATGTATTTTTAAATCAGAATGTTTTGAAACGATGTTCCATTTAAAATTTCAATCTGTACTCCTATGTAATCCACTGAGGATCAGAACCCTGCTCGGGCAGCCCACAGAGAAGCATGCTGATTTATAAACTTACCAGATTTCACATTCATTAGCTCTTGTGACTCTCTATCCAACAGAGTCATGGCGGGGACAGAGAGGGAAAACAGCAAAGGAATGAAGTGTGAAGCAATTGAAAACTTGGTCTTATTTCCAAAAGCGCAAGTGCTTCTCCTGAGGCATGACCACCAATGTGGAGAAGACAGGCATTTCGTTGATGGCATCCTGATGCCTGCAGGATCCCCACGGATCTGCAGACCACTGTCTCAGTAACAGCTTGCATGGTGGCAGCGCCCTGCGAGGCGAGAAGTCTTGGTTCAAACCTGTTCCTTAAGTCAGAAGGAGATCACATTTGAACTTCTTATTTACCACATGAGCAAATTAACCGCTTGGTTACCGGCTACTAAAAGGATAAGAACTTTCTGAGTTCCTCTTACTTATCAGAGCTGTTCTGGTTAGGAAAGCATTTTCAATTCTATGTATGCTGAACCAGTCGAAGAGTAAAACTGACCTGACAGGACCCATCTTTCTGAGATGAAACAAGTGATATCCAGATCCTGTGCCCATGAATTTTTACTTAATAAAAATAAACAGCTTCAGAGGACCTTAAAACATAGGTGATGTGTTTTGGGGTTGTTTTATATAGTAATGGCTTAGATGCTGTAAAGTAAAACTCCTCACCTCCTCAGAGTCTTCATGATACCCACGGCAGGCTGAGAGCCTCAGAAAAGTAGGTCATGAACGTTTCCATCATGAGGGAAGAGAGAGGATTGCTGAAGGGAATGCAAACAATTTCTGCTTTTTGGAGAAGGGAGCACATGTCAGTCTGGTCTCTGGATATGCAGCAATTTAAGTATCAAAACATTTTACTCTGAGACAGTCACTTAATAGTCTACTATAGAACTGCAGTCTAGTATAACATAGTTTCTGGACAGCTGCAAAAATCAGATTAAAAAGCAGGAATCAGAGAAATTAAAAAGCCCCGTACCTCATGTATGTTCAGGCTACATGCAAGTTACAAGTACCAGTTTAGTTCCTGAAACCAAGTCTACTGCTATCCATGTGACAAAGAAAATAGGGTTTTCAGTGGAAGAAAACATGAAGGCCCAAGCAGCTAAGAGACCAAAACCCAACACACACTTTAAGTAAACCATGTCTCTTTCAGCGAGGACAGAATTTTGTTCAAGGAAGTTTGAGAAGCCCTACCTAAAATCATCAACTAACTCCTTAGTAAAGGGTGAGGTAACTCAACGTGGACTGCACTTCTGAACCAGTTACATCCCAATAAACACCCTCTCTGTTTTCCTCAAACTCTCCCCTTGCTGAGAAGACAAAACACCAGCTGGGAAGCAAAGCGATGCTGCTGGGTCTCCACCTATCTAGTTGCTATAGAAACAACAGAAACAGTCAGAGTTAGGAGTCTCACATTTAAGATCAGCTATAAAAATGAAGAGACAAATCCCTGCTGAGAAATGCAGTTGAAGTTTGACTGCCTAAGAACATTTGCAAAAAAAGAGCAAGGTCAACAGCAACAAACAACTGGAGTAAAAATCTGAAATCTCTGCCAAAAGGGATGCAGATAACAATAATTTAATGGGTTCTTTGCAAGTAATAGGCATGGATAATAGTATTTAGTTCTCTACATCAGCGGGAGAGTGTGAATAAAGCAATTAACAGATCTTGGTGGGAGAGAAATGAAAATGTTGGGCTAACAAGTATGTTTTCATCAATAATAGAAGCGTCATGAATAGGACTCATATGGACATCCACATTATCTTAATCAATATGCTTCCTATTCAAATATTTAGACAGTAGATTAGAAGAAAGGTTGAAGGAAAAGAAACCATCTATGGTCTTGAAAGAGCATAGCGGGTCAAAACAGGAACAACAGCTTAACAATAGATGGTAATACTTTAGTTTTAATGGTTATTGTTGTTATCTCCTTAAGTACAGCAGTGACACAATTCTTAAGAGATTTGGTGCAGAATTACAGTCCTGTGATAAACGTCCATAGGGACCTGCCACTTTCCATACACCATTCTTTATTGTTTATACCCAAACAAATGTGTTTCCCTTTTGGAATGTATCATTGGACAAAGAATAATCTGAAATTAGGAGGCTTCTATTGTAAAAGAGATTGCAAGTCTTCCACATAAAAGCTCTCCTCACAATTAAAAAAACTGGCTTGCGATGTAGTCTTTTCAAGTCTCAATTATTTTAAAAAGGCAATTCTAAACAGCACAGTGTTGGTACATAGATGCACTTTCCTTTCACAAGCCAAAACAAGAGCAGTGGTGATTTCGTCTTAGCTTTTAGCGCGCTGCTCCACAACAAAGGTCCTCAGCGAGAGGACAGTGGTCCACTCCGCAGGCACGGAGCCTC